TTATATATAAGGTATGTAAGATATTTGATATAAAGGAACAAGTAATTATTAATTTATATAAATTATTTAATTAAAACAGATTATTCTGTTTTAATTAAATAATTTATATAATTATTCTGTTTTAATTAAATTTTAATTTAATTTTTTTTTAAAAACAATAAAATGTCTAATTTCTCTGAAATTAATAAATTAAAAAGAAATATAAAAAAGTTGAACAATGTTGAAAGTAGTGTTGAATTTTTGAAATATATATATATATATATATAAATAGAAAATTGTTATATAATTTATATGTACATATATAGGGATTATAGAAATACACTAATAACAATAAATAAAACTGTTAATAAATTGACCATGTATTGGCCCACAATCTTGACCATGTATTGGCCCAAACAACACAAACTAAATATATAAATTTGACAATATCTCAGCAATTTGACGTGATAGAGCCAAACGGTTTTCAAATTTAAAATCAGCGTAAACTGCTTAAGAAACAATTATTTTCATATAAGATATCTACAACATGTTTTTTAGTGTAATTTATCGGTGGAATTTATAATGAATTGTCAAGAATTTGGTATTCAGCATATATATATATATATATATATATATATATATATATATATATATATATATATATATATATGTGTGTGTATGTGTGTGTGTGTGTGTGTGTGTGTGTGTGTGTGTGTATTTTGAAACAAGGATTTTAGTGATACAAACTTCATTAAATATTTTTGCCCATTTAGCGTTAATCCATTTTTTTATAATACATTGACATTCAACAACTCGTAATTGGTTCAATTCATATTTATTCAATAAATGTGTCGTAATCAGGCTTACAACGTAATTTTTCTTGGTATCATCATATTTTGCTTAAAAAATACATACTTGCATTGAGAATTAGTTGTAAATCGACAAGTTTTTGTGCAGCATTGTAGACTATTTATTATTTCACCTCCATTATCACAATCTTCACTACTGTCTACAATTCCATTACCACATAATTCTGGAATAAGTTCTGTTGAAAAATAAAAGTACTTTGTTTTAATTTATTTATCTGAAAGTGTTAATTTTACTGTTTCCATAAAAAAGTGTTCTAAAAAATTAAACGGTTAAGTTAGAATTCTGCGTGAAGAATAAAAAAAAATAATAACTTTTCTAACAGCTGGCGTACGTAACAACAAAAAGGTGTTATATTATTTTATTTTAAAAATCAACGATCGGTTATATTATAAGAGTAGAGCAGAACTAATACAGGTCAATCACAAAACGTTTAGACGTTTACCAAAAAACTTTAGTGAGAAAAATCGAAAAAACGAACTACAAACATATTAACGCCAAACATTTCGGTAGAATTTATAGAATATTGTAAAAATTATAAAAATTATGGTCTATTATCAACATATATATAATTGTAGATTCAAGTTTACTCACAATATATATATATATATGTATAAATTGGGTAGGGAGTTGGATTTTTTGTTAAAAAAACATTGATTATTCAAAAAAATATGAATTTTTTGATGAAAACATTTGCGAATTGCTCAACATAGATGTTCAACTGAACATCGATGTTGTCAATATTACTTCAATTTACAGACCCCTAAATCCAACTTAAATTTATTCTTTGACTTTTTATCAAACTTTTGCAAAAACAATGTATCAAATTTTTCATATATTATTGGCGATTTTAATATAAACTTGAACTCTTCGAAACATACAAAAAACAGTTTTGAAAACATTCTTTATTCTCACAATTATCACTCGCTAATTGATCAACCGACTCGCGTGTCCAAAACAACTTCCACATTAATAGACAATATATTTACCAATACTTACTCAGATCACCTAAATGGCATTTAAATGGTGGATCTATCAGATTGCTATCACATATTTTCATTTAATTTAAAACAAACATCACTTCCTAAGAAAGTTGACATTTTAGTAGCAAGGAAAT